GAACCTTTTTTTTTTAATTACGTTGAACCTTTTTTTTAAATTACGTTGAACCCTTACAGCATTATCTGGTATGTACGTAGATTAATCATCCGGACCTGTCTCTTATACACATCTAGATGTGTATAAGAGACAGCACACACACACACACACACACAGTCGTGACAGTTACGGTGTACACGTCCCTGTTCCTGTTCCAGGGACAAATTCATTCGGTTTTGCTCACGCACACACACACATAAGCCGACTGTCGAGGTTGCAGCCTCCTGATGAGTCGGTGAGAACCCGACGAAACAGTCAGGCATAGTGTTGCTATCTCCTACAGCCTGTTTCCATGGCCGCAACCAACTGTATCACTGCATATTTCCATGTTCCGGGCGAAGATCTATTCCATTTTGCTCATCCATAGATGGAGGCCAGTCTGCCCTCTGGAAACTTTGCCCGTTCGTTTTCGACGAACGAACGTTTTTTTTTTTCAGATCGTAAGAAAAGAAGGGAAATCTAAAGAAGAATAAAAACAAATCTAGAATAAATAATCTAAAAGAAAATCTAAAAAAAAAGAAAAAAAAAGAAACCAACTTACCTTAAATGAAATGGCTGCCCGTTTTCAACGGGCGCCTGCTGCCACTCTGCTGGACTTTCTGGGAACTCTGTCCCTAATTAGTTCTATGGGCGCCATCTGACGCTGTTTGTTCCCCAAATTTTTTTTTTTATTATTATTTTTTAATTAATGTGTGTCATCCTTTGCGCACGGGATATACTACTTCACGCGCGGCCGAATTCGGCCGTGTGATCTAGCCGATCTCGCGGTCGAAATCGACGGTGCCTCATGTCCTTCTTGGTGGGCTGCTCCAAAAGGAGCTAGCCCGGTGGGGCGCGTCCAGTTCGATCCCGCTGTCTGCTGGGAGAAAGTCGTGCGCTAAAACCTACAGGCCTAACTGTTTCCACATTGAAGAGGCGCAACTCTTCTTTATTAAGAGTTATGCCCTGCGCAGACAGCTAACCAGCGGCCTAGTAGGCCTCCGTCTGCCCCACCACTCGAATACACAGTCGCTGGCCCCTGGCCCCCTGATGCAAGCGCGCGCCCATTGCCATAGGGTGGGACGTGGACTCTTCATCCCACTGACGCCAGTTCGAGTCTCGGTGTGCAAAATAAGTCTGACGTCCGAAATTTTTGCACCGCAACTGTCAACACGAAGCAACCACTTCTTTTAGCGTACCTAGGCCCTGAATCGCGCGACTGTTATCTTAGATGGGATAGGTCTTAGCTTTATCATTCCCGCGACCGTGTGCCTTCGCGGCCCTACTAGAAACCGCATACGACTGGTCACACTGCCGATTACCGCCATTATTCCTGGACGTCACAAACATCTAGTTCATAAAAGTTATAGTCTCTCGGTCATAGGCTAGTCTGAATAAACGTCTGGCAGACGTCAGTCTCATCAAGTTCCTTAATTTAACGAAAAAGTCGAACAGTGTCCGACGTTGAAAAACCCGAGCAGATACCCTTGTAAGGGTTTCTGCTCTGACATCGGTACCTCTATAAGTCTGTACTAAGGTGGCAGCTATGGCAGCCACACTACCAGAACCCCCTGGACCAGTACCTGTTCCAGTACCCCGATAAGTCTGTACTAAGGTAACTGCCACATCAACCATGAGTCCATGATTGGACCCCCCAAATCCAGCACCTAAAGCCCGTTCCACTACTCCGACAAGTCTGTGCTAGGTAACTGCTATGCCAGCCTGAACTGAATCCAGAGCTAGTACCTGCAGCCTGTTCCAGCACCCCCCGACAAGCCCATACTAAGGTAACTGTGATGCCAGCCACAACCGAACCCAGGGCAAATACCTGGAGCCCGTTCTGTTAGACCGAGATACCCATGACCATGGACAAGGAGGATGGACAACAACACTCTGTATATTGTTCAGTTCAATGGGATCCAATTTCGAACCGTCAACCTCTTCCGGAGTCTTCCGTACAACCCTCAGCTCAAACCTACTGAGCTACAGTGACAACTAGTCTGGTTTGATGCGCTGTACTAGATGGGGAAACAACTGCACAATTATCAGAATAACCATGGACCCAAAAAAAAAAAAAAAAGAACAAAAAAACAGAACAAGAAAAAAAAAAGAACACAAAAAGAAAGAACAAAACAAAAAAAAAAACTGCAAGCAAACCAAGCTTAGTTTAAACCCAACATACAACACCATGGCCGAACCCTTGGGTGGTGCACAGGCAGTGTCTGCAATAGCTTACCTGCTTCAGCACAAGGGGGTATGCAAGTGTCTCTGCGCATCGGTGCGGGTTCAACACTAACGTGGAGTTTTGAACCCGCAACCTTGAACATTGACTAAAGAGGAACTCCTATCTCACCAACATCTAAATACTCCAGCGAAATTTCCCACGGAAAACTTATAAAATCCCCCCGCCTCGCCACAAAACCGTAGTGAGCAACCCGAGAGCCTATCAGTGGGTACACCTATGAACTGTGGAAATACAGACGTGTGTTCGAATCCACCGAATCCAGATGATGGAATGACACTAGCTCAAAGTCAGAGGCAGCTGGTCAGAGGCACTACGAATGAATTGCCTGGGGCTGGTCAACTCAAGGCCGAAAAAAAAAAGAAGAAGAAACCTTTGTAAGCGGATCTGTTTTTATTTATTTATATTTTATTTATACTTTCGATGGTAGGAGTTACATGGCCTGCAGGCATCATAGTACCGTTCGCGACAGGCAGCTTCTGACGAAGATAGAGCGGATCCTCACGTAGGAATGTACCTGGATGGTCACGACGGCCAGGTCCACCATCTGTACGAGAATATGACCATGTTCACTGTTCGGTTCCATTCGGACAGGGACTGACATCGGTGGGAGAGTCTGACACGTTCGGAGGCGACGAGAGTGACAAGAGATTACCGATTCTGACATCTGACAAGAACCCTGATGAGGGTGTCGAGAGGATGGCATCACGGCAGGATAGTATAGCAGATGGAAGACGGATGGCCTGACTGTGGCCAAAGGGGGGGGTATCGATAGAAGAACAGGGGATGTGCCTGTCTCCCACCCGCCGCCCGGAGACTTATGGAAATCAGAGAGGGAAGGGGCTTCATGAGCGCAGGATACAATCGTAAGAAGAAAGGAACAACAAAAACCCAAAAGAAAAAGGTGATCGGATCGGTAAGACACAACATGTCAACGCGTAAAGAATCATTTCGGATGCTCTCACCTCGTCTACGGGTTTGTGTTGGGGGAGATCGGTTTTCGTGTGCGTGTGCACGTGTGTACGTGTGTGTGGAATTGTGCGCTGAGTGTATGTGGTGTGTGTGCGTGCGGGAGTGTGCGCGAGTGTATGTGGTGCGTGTGCGTGCTTCTGTCTGTGCGTGTGTGAATGTTTGTATCTTGTTCTCGTGCTTGTGTGTGTGTCGGGAAGTCCGTGTGCTGTCGTCTGTGTTGGCAAGACGTGTGGTCTTGTGTGTGTGTGCGTGTGAGTGTGTGTGCGTGTGAGTGTGTGTGCGTGCGTGCATCGAGTGTATGTGTGTGTGTGTGTGTGTGTGTGTGTGTGTGTGTGTGTGTGTGTGTGAGAGAGAGAGAGAGAGAGAGAGAGAGAGAGAGAGAGAGAGAGAGAGAGAGCTTTTGTCTGACGAGGAGCAACCATCTGGTATTTTCGTCTCTGTTTCCACGAAACCTCTAATATGTACGTAATCACGACAACGTCTGATTTTCGTATGCATATCAGGAAAGTGATGTGTGACTGATAGTCTTTGTTTTGTTTTTCGCACTTTTTGATGTGTGTATTTTGGAGTTTGGAGATGGCTTGTCTGCATGAAGTGCACGGCGCAGACAAGCCATCTCCGAACTCCAAAATATTGATGTGTGTATTTTGGAGTTTGGAGATGGCTTTTCGCACTTTTCGTTGCGTGTCCGTATTTTGTCGAGTCGTGCATGAAGTGCACGGCGCGAAGTGATGGCGGTTCGACCATGGCTTCGTGCACGTAGAAGTTAGAAGTGTGCATGGGACATGCAGCTCAGCGCTGTCATGCGTTCCTCGAGATAGGTGGGCCATGGCTTTGGCTTCTGAAGCCAACGAAGAGCCGCCTTGGAGTTTTTTTTTTTTTTTTTTTTTTTTTTGGAATTGCCGACCTTGGAGTTTGATTATTGTGTTGTTTAGAAGTTTTGAGTGAGGACATACTCACACGAGGACGTTATTTGGGTCAGGTACATCTAACGCCGGCCGTAAATGCGGTCGGATGCATTTGAAGAGATAGAGTGTATGCCCTGAGTGTTGCTCGGTCATCGTCGTTTCAAAATGTTTTTTTTTTTTTTTTTTTTCTGGTTGACTTTTCCGAAAATGAGTATTGATGTGGGGATGCGTCGACAATTTCCATGGTTTTTTTTTTTTTTTTTTTTTTTTTTCAATGACCGTTTCTCTAGGCTACCAGAGTGGCCCGGGTCCACTTGCCCGGCCGGGCGAAAAAGAAAGAAAAACGTAGAAAAGAAAAAATATTTTTAAATTAAAATCTTTATTTTAAATTTGATTTTTTTTTTTGATTTGACCTTGGGGCAAGAGTTGTTCAGTTTGTTTTTCTGCATAACATAGATTTTTTTTCAGATTTTTTCGATTTTTTTTTTTTTTTTTTTTTTGGCTGGGACCTTCCCTGGTGCTTGCACGGCCGGGCTGCCTGGGAAAATAGGGTGACCCGGGCGGCCCGGCTGGTAGCCTAGCCGTTTCTCGATTTATCCGATGTTGTCATCCTTGGGCAGGGACCATGCTCTACTCAATCTTCTCTCTATCGTTCCAATTTTAATCGTGTCATCCTCGGGGAGGACTGTAGTTCTGTTCTTCGCTCTTCTTCTGGCGCGTTTTTTTTTTTTTTTTTTTTTTGGTTGGGGGGGGGGGGGGATTTTTTGTTTTTTTTGCTTGGGCGCGTTATTTTTTTTTTTTTTCTGTCTCCTTTCTTTATGCGGAGTTCGACCGAGCATCAGTGTCTTTTTTTTTTTTTTTTTTTAAGGCGAGCCCCGCATATCGTTGTGCTCAACATAAACGACGATGAAACTTTCGTGTACCGTTCAGCCACGAGCCCTCGCTGCACGGCAACATGAAAGGGAAAAAAAAAACGAGTGCATCTTTCCACAGGTGGTGGTTAAATACATTCGTTGCTATTTATATAGTAAGAGGATGAATCCTTCCACAGACTGTGGGACGATGCACTCGGTTGCTTTTTCGTTTCTTGCGCCGTGCGGCGTGCGCCGAGGGAGGCTACCTTTCGGAATCCGTCTTTGACCAACTTTGAGTCCAGATACAATGATAATAACCGTGTGTGTTCTATTCGGGCGAAGTCGGCATTATCTATGAAGACCATTTCCTCTTTGACCGATGATCTTCGGCCTCGGCTGCTGTCCGCATTGGAACCTTTTTTTTTTTTTTTTTTTTTTTAATTACGTTGAATATTTTTTTTAATTACGTTGAACCTTTTTTTTTTAATTACGTTGAACCTTTTTTTTAAATTACGTTGAACCCTTACAGCATTATCTGGTATGTACGTAGATTAATCATCCGGACATTATCCGGACATTATCCGTACATTATCCGTACATTATCCGTACATTATTCGGTACAAAACCGATGAAGGGGCAAAAAAGAAAAAAAAAAAGAAAAAAAAAAGCCGATCAAGGGGTAGAGTCGGACCGTATCTCGCAGATACCGATAATCCGAACGTTATCCAATATTTCCGCTTTTTTTAAATCGGTCCTTTCTTTTTATGTGTGTGTGTGTTCCTTCTTTTGTTCAGAAGCGCGACGGCTTGAGGTATCATCATCGAAGTGATCGGCTTCCAGTAATTAAAAAATAACTGATTTCCGTCATCTAGTTCCTATTTGAATTCGAACTTAGGTCTGCATCTGGACAGTTCATGGGTTTGGATTCGAACCTCCGTCTGCATCTGGACAGTTCATGGGTTTGGATTCGAACCTCGGTCTGTATCTGGACAGTTCATGGGTCTGGATTCGAACCTCGGTCTGCATCTGGACACTTAATGGGTTTGGATTCGAACCTCGGTCTGCATCTGGACACTTAATGGGTTTGGATTCGAACCTCGGTCTGCATCTTGACAGTTCATGGGTTTGGATTCGAACCTCGGTCTGCATCTGGACAGTTTATGGGTTTGGATTCGAACCTCGGTCTGCATCTGGACAGTTCATGGGGTGTATAGCAACTGAGCTAGGCCCCGTCCGTAAATTGATCCATCTGCATCTGTTTTTTTTCTTCTTCTAATCTCTTTTTTTTTTTTTTTTTTGGCTTCGTTTCCGTAAATGATTCGATCGTCTCAACCGTCGATCTTTTTTGCATGTGGATATGGAGAGTGCAACTGTGCCTATTGTTCGGCTGGGATCTCATCTCATATGCCTTCATCGTCGCGCGTCTCCTTATTTAGTCATTTCATCGCCACATTTTTGCGAATAAAGTACGATTAAAAAAATATATGTTTGTTTATTTATTTTGTTGACGTGCGGAGAATCGGTAAATACGGTATCTACGATGTGTGTGTGTGTGAGCGCCCGAGCATGCGTGCGTGTGGGGAGTGCTGGTAGATAGTTTGAGTGTTTTTTTTTTTTTTTTTTTTTTTTTTTAATGGTCCGGATGGACCACGGAACAGATAGTAAACTGATCACTGTCAGAATGGGATAATTGTTAAGTAATCATTACAGTGATTATGACATGAAAATGGGATAATTATTAATTTTTTAGATAAAATAATGTATAGAGTACTAAAAAGCACGGACAATTCGAAGCTCGTTCTCCTTGGGCGTGGTCCCCACTAGCAAAGAGGGTCGGATCGAATGCCTGAATCTGGACGTGTTTGAGATCGAGATTGAACTGCGATTCTGCATCTCTGCATAAAACACACCCAGATTCAGGAGCTTGATCCTATCCCCGTCGCTAGTGGGACCTCGGCCCTTGGAACTCAGGGATTATAGCGACGTGAAGAAGCGGGGAGAAGAAAATGTATTAACGGCGGAATTTAACGCCCTTTTTTTCTTTTTTCTTTTTTTTTCGTGTTAAACCACCAGTACTTGGCCGAGAAATCGGCCACGTGAAAAAATAGAGTAGAAATGTTTCTAGTCGAATGAAGTCGGGCGCTTCTGTAGTGGCACATGCGTTTCCTAAAATTGTGGCTGCTTATTAACGAGCAGAACTTTACGAAGTACAAGAAAAAAAAAGAAAAAAAAAAAAAAGAAAAAAGAAAAAAGAAAAAAAAAGAAAAAAAAAAGAAAAAAAAAAGGAAGTACTGGTGGGTTTAAGGTGGCCTTTTGTTGTCGTTGACTGATGGGATCCCGACGTACCGACGTCAGGTGATCCCTGCTCGTTATTTACGATTTCTTTTTTTTCACATTTTGGTTTTAGGCGACTGAATTTGAACGTCGCGTTTTTTTTTGGTTTCTTTTTTTGGATATGGTTTTTGCAGGAAAGCATTGTGACTCGGATTGGATCTTGTGCAGAGGATGACGCGATTATTTTTTTTTTTGTCTTTTCTTGGGTATATTTTTCGCAGGGGAGCATTCTGATTTGGATAAAAATTATTAAAAATAAATTGGATTGGATCTTGTGAAGAGGATGATGGCGCCCATCGCTGGCAGGAGCAAGTGAATTCGACGGCACGACCAGGACTGGAGGTGGGAGGCAGGAGGAGAAGAAGAAGAGGGAAGAGACAACAGCAGCAAGTGAATTCGACGGCACGACCAGGACTGGAGGTGGGAGGCAGGAGGAGAAGAAGAAGAGGGAAGAGACAACGACGACGACGACGGTAGTAAAAGAAACAAGAGGAGGAGGAAGAGGAAGAGGAGAAGTGCATTTGAGCTCCCAAGTTGCAGAATTCGACCGACCCTGCTCTCTTGAGGGGCATATTTTGATTCACTAGCTGTCAATCTAGCGGATTCCAACCTTATCCAAACCTTATCCAAACTTTTATCCAAACTTTATCCAAACCTTATCCAAACTGTATCCAAACCTTATCCAAACCTTATCCAAACTTCATCCAAACTTCATCCAAACTTTATCCAAACCTTGTCCAAACTTTTTCCAAACTTTTTCCAAACCTTATCCATTGTGCTTGCCTCTCTGTGATTCCACCCTGCCTGCGGTGCTGCTGAGGAGGCAGAGGCGTTTAGATTTTGGGTCGAGGAGGGAGCTCCCTGCAGTTCATTTTCACTTCAGACTTTTGTTTGGGGGATAAGGTTAGGATAAGTTTGGGATAAGGTTGGGATAAGGTAGGGATAAAAGGTCGGACCACGTGACGGCCGTCTGGATATTAAGATTCGAACATCATGGGTGTTGACCTGGATCTTGTCGTTTATGCGGATCTTCTGGACCCTGAGATGTTCTGCCCCATCTGCACTGATGCGCTATCCAGCGAAGACGCGTTGGAAACGCCATGCGGCCACGTGTTCTGCAGCGGTTGCCTGATTCCCTTTGTACGGACGTACACTCAATGCCCTCGTGATCGACGGCCAACAAGAGCTGCAGATTTGAAACGAGTGAAAGATCACAATCCGTTCGTCTATCGCTTGTTGGGATCCCTGACCGTTAGATGCAAAAAGCACAAAGAGGGTTGCACGTGGCAAGGAGAGTTCTCTGAAGCTTCCTCCCACCTGGCTAACGGCTGTCCCGAGTCGAGGCAGCGTTCCTGCGCCGTAGGAAACGGTTCCGTCATCATCAACTCCACCTCCACGTCCTCCTCCTCGCTTTCTTCCTCCCCCTCTCCCTCCTCCTCCTCCTCCTCCTCCTCCTCTTCGGCCCCTTCCCCAACCTCGGTTGCCTCACCTGTATCCCATCTGCTCGACAAGACGGATTCGGTGATCTCCGCTGGTGCTGCACGCTTTATCCCCCCCCGTTTATCCAGTCTGGATAAGATTTTATCCAGATTGGACAAGGTTACTTCGCCCTCCTCTACTGGCGGAAGGGGGGATCGTTCGATTGCGGAGAACGCTGTGCCAAACTCTCCCTCTCCCTCTCCCTCTCCCTCTCCCTCGCACTCCCCCTCTCCCTCCAATTGCAATTCTGGATCTTGCTTCGAGTGCTTCCGACGAGAGATTGAGCTCCGCAAGGCCAAAGCAGAGAACAAAAAGAAGGAGCTGCATATCGAGGGCTTGCGATCTGCGCTGTCCCTTCTGGTCTCGCTCGTCGAAGATAGCTGCAACGATACGGCCAAGGTTTCCACCAGGGAAAGAGAGAAGATGACGTCAACGAATATGGATATTTTGAAAACGGTGCAGCATATCCTTCTACTGTGATCATAGTGTACTTGAAGAAGTGCTGAGCTGGCCGAGGAGGAGGAGGAGGAGGAGAGATCTCAGAGATGGCGTGAGCTGGCAGAGGAGGAGGAGGAGGAGAGATCTCAGAGATAGCGTGAGCTGGCAGAGGAGGAGGAGGAGGAGGAGAGATCTCAGAGATGGCGTGAGCTGACAGAGGAGGAGGAGGAGAGAGCCCAGAGATGGCGTTATTCCCCGCGATAGGGGAGAGTTAATTTGTTGGTGACATCAACGACAGCAAAAACGGAGGTACGGCGCAAATCTCCTTTTTCTCTGGCATGACATGTAGGGTGACGTCAAAAACAAATGCTTGTTGACGTCAGCGATTCCCCGTTGTTTTTTAGCACACGACGGCGCTCGCGGTCGAGCTGGAAGATGTGCGATGTTGACGACGTCAACAATATTGAGACGGTGCTGCTGCTGCTGAAAACGGACAGTGCACGACCAACAAAGCAAAAAGGCGGGTGAGAGACATGCGATGTCTCTGTCTTTTTTTTTTCTCTTCTTTTCTTTTCTTTTTCTTTTCATCGGGAATTAGGACACGTGAACCTCACGGCTGGCGCTTGTTCAATAGGCGTGTCTATTGTTGTTGTTGTTGTTGTTGTTGTTGTACTATACCATAGTGATTGCTATTCCATTGCAGCCGCATGGACTGTCTGGCTCTCACTACCTCCTTTTGGATTGATGAGCCAATGCAGGTTTTCGCTCGAGTAGTGTGAATGTATACAAGCTAACTTTTCAGTCCGATGCAGACAGTGCAGGTTTTCGCTCGAGTAGTGTGAATGTATACAAGCTAACTTTGCAGTCCGATGCGATGCATGGATGTAAACTATCTTTCGGATTCTTCAACAGTTCGATACGATGAAGTCTTCTTTTGGCTTTGATGATCCATATCTTACTCAGCACACCCGTTACCACAGATTTCTCGCTCGAGTTTCAATAGAAAAAAAATAGAACTTAGATTCAATAGAATAGTATATGAGAAATAGGTATTAGATTAGATTCATTAGAATAGAATGGCAATCCTCGAATAGATGACCAGTAGCCTTCTTGACTGAAATAATCTCTCTCTCTCTCTCTCTCTCTCTCTCTCTCTCTGTGTGTGTGTTTGTTGTCTCTCTCTCTCTCTCTCTCTCTCTCTCTCTCTCTCTCTCTCTCTCTCT